TGATAGTCGACGTAATCGTGACTAGTTGACTAATCGTGGCAGCCCTACCTGTGAGCTAAAACCTCAGGCATACGTTTAACTTTCATAGATTTGTGATCAGCAGTTTACATCCACTCATGATGGGCATGAATGTCAGGGTAATGTTTGGGCGCTTAATGATTTCTTTGAAGTGTTCTTTTTCCAGGATGGAATAATTGAACAGCATTCATCTTTAATGACTAAAAAAAAAGAATCTGGTGGACAAGTCAGACAGTTTTGGTAGCCATCAACAAGCTCTGGCATAAATCTAGCTGGATATTTGAGCACCCCTCTTGACTGAATTGGCAGGGTTCATTCTTTGGTCGGTTTCCTGGCACTGATCTGGGTTTTAAGGATAATCCACAAGTTTTCATTAGGGTTGAGGTCGGGGCTTTGGAGAGATCATTCCAGAAGGTGGATGAGCCATTTTTAAACAACTGCAGATTTCAAGATCATCAGTTTACACACAGCAAAACTGTGTATTTGTTTGTTTACCTCCCTCTGTTTTGTCTTTCAGGTGTTGTCTGTCGTTACAAATGCAGCAGCTGATTGCTTCATCCCCGACTTTTTTCCCCACCCCCATACTTCTTCTTCTTCTGTTCCTCCACTTTCTTCTCCTATCTTTAGCCAACGTGGCCTTCACTTGTGTTGTTTACATATACCATTCTAATGTCACAGCAAACTCACAGTCATTTGTAGTCTCGAGTGGCACCTGGTGCGGTCTTCTGCTGCATTAGCCTCTCTGCTTCAAGGTTTGACATGTTTTTATAATGAGTGGTAATTTAAGTTACACTTACCTTCCTGTAATGTGGCCATTCTCCTCTGTCCTATGACATAAATAAGGGTTTTTGTTCAGCGACCCACTGCTCACTGTATAACTCCTTTTTTTCAGATGATTCTGTATAAACCTTATTGTTGGTTATGATTGAAAATACCACTAAATCAGCCCTTTCTGAAATACTTCTGGTATTGCCTGTCTGGCACCAATAGCCATGCCACATGTAAATTCCATTTGATGACTTAACGCTAACCAACAAATATGCATATACATCCTACATTTGTGCTTATGTCACGTACTTGTGCGACAATCAGATCAGAAACAGAAAGCTTACCTGCAACATGAGCCATGACGCCGCCCAAATAATTTCTGGGAACACGGCATGCGCTAATTTACAGCTGGGCTTTCAGTAACAGCCACGTGGCCACAATGAAAGACAGTCAGGACATAAAATAAAATGTTCCACCCATAGATGAGTTATACTCTCACCCCTTGTGCTTGTACCAAGATAGTAACATAAAAAACTACTGCCAGTGACTGTATATTTATAGTAATGATGTCTTATAAATGTCACAATAGCATGCAGCAGTAGTAGATAAGCTATTTTATCATCAGGAGTTGTGGTATAGATCAAAAAGAAACAGGCTAGGGGCAATTTAATGATTTTAAATGTGCTCATGAACTGATGTAACCCAGGAGTATGAATGGATGACTTTGTAATTACTTATTGTATACAGTATCTTTTATGCAAATAGTGTTTATTTATATGTTTTTATTAGTTTTTTGAGCACTTTGTGTCATTAAACAAATTGTAATATCATTCAATGTCAATATCAATATATTTATATTGCAGTGGAGCTCTGTCGGTTGAAATACAGTGTGTACTGTATATTAATGTACACCTTGGGGCTCCCTGCTCCTGCTGCTTATTCACCAGCAATGTGGCCCACATGCTGATGGCCGCTCCACGTCTGTTCGCCACCTGTGGCAGTTGGGGAGACTTATGCTTAATTTATGCTAGCCTGGTTGTGTCCATTTGCAGAGGTATTTGCCTATGAAGCGCTTACGAGAGGGGTTTTCAGCAACTGCAACCGTGCTCCTGCGCAGTCCTCCAAAATCCCTTGAAACGGATGATGCTGTGTTGCAGTCAAATGCTGATTGGTTAGAGGGAAGAGGGAAGGGAGCAAAAGGAGAAACCATTAAGGATGAAATTAAAAAATCTGCATTTACAGCACAGACAGTCGTTGCAGTGGACACTTTATTGTTCCCAACACTTGATTTCACTTTGATGGACCAACAGAACAAACCATAGCAGACAAGTTGTAGCATATATATGTGACACTGGGGGCAGTCACTGCAGGAAGATGACCAGTCTGCTCACAGACTGCCTACACACTACCTCCATAATTTGTCAATTAGTCTCAAACTCTGCACTTACATATATTCTCAGGGTTTGCAGATAATATTTGTTATTTTAATGCGCTTAATGATTAATGTTTACGAATTAAAGTAAAGGAAGTATTGTAGTTGGAAGGTGGTATTGTGTAGAAATAACAAAGCTGACATAGTGATGGTTCTTAGAACTGCTGCTTTTAGTATTTTGCATAAGATTATACAGCTCTGATTATTTCCCTAAACAAATTCAGCAGGCCGAGTGACACAAGGGCACAAGAGTTTCTGGTAAACCCCATCCCTTGAGACCAAGTGCCTTTGAAATTTCATCTTCTTTATTTGCATTCCTCCAAATCACCTTTAAAATGCTAAATTATAAAGACCTGACAGCATTCCTTCTCCAGTACATCCTTTTTACCTCTTCCAAAACTAGCAGAACTTGAATCTTAAATTTAATGCAAATGCCAGTGGAAAATATGTGTAGTCAATCAGTGGCTGACAGGTTGAGGAGCTGCAGAAGAAACACACACATGTGTGTATGTGTGAGAATACAACCATTTGAGGGGAGGATGTGAGGTTCAGTAGTGCCTGTGGAGGGCTTTCTAATGAACCCTAAGGTAGAATGAGTGTGCCAGAACCAATCAAAGACACACTGGAGAAAGTAGATGTACGAGCTCCTCATTAACCAAACACCGTGTTCCCATCTTCTTCTGCGTAGCCAAGGTGAGAGGATGTTTTTCAACGATGATGATTAGGCTAAACCTGAAACAATCACCACACGTGGAACCACAGACCACAGGAATGTCTTACTCTTTAGACGACTCATTCTTGAATTCAGTCTCTCTTGCATCAGTCTAATGTGTATGAACAGTATATCTTCAGCAAAGAAGATAAGAAGAGAGTTTCAGGTGTCAAAGCCAAAGCATGAAACCAAAAATATGAAAGTGGAAGTTATTCTATTTACTCTGACACCATGATAAAAAGGCAGGCAGCTGCTGACTGGTTAATTTGAACATATACAGGTTCAAATTGAACATGCTCTGCTGTCTGCAAGGTCTATCAGCTAACCAAATGCACCCTGACAAGTGACAAATTTTAAGTATAAGTGGAAAAATTGACAATGTACTCTCGTATTTGCGAGGAACGTTTGCTAGCTAAAAGAAAGCTAGCTAACAACTTTAACTTTAGCAACTTTACTATGCTAAACTATGATTAAAACCATCAAATTTAAA